AGGACAATTTGGATTTTCTAACATACCTTTACCTGAAGCAGCATTACCACATAGAACACCTTTCCCTAAACTGGGGCCCCACAGATGTGTTAGACTCCTAAAATCTCCTAGCCAGCTGATTGAAGGATTCTGGGAACTGGAGTCCAGGCATCTGGAGGACACAAGGTTAAGGGAAGACCATCTTTTAGGGCCTAAGAATACATAGGGAACTTGAGAAACTTTCATGAAATTGAACACCATGACCAAATGGATGCTATGGGAGGCATGGCAAAGGACAAATAACCTGTTCCAATGACTGTAGAAGCAGCAGTGGGATCTCTTCTTTGTGTCCACAGTTTTCAGAACTATTTTCTCTGTCTGCATCTTTTTCTTTGAGATTTAGCTCAATGCAGAGGAAAGCATCAGTTTCAAATCAGCTACCACCTTCTTCTTAAATACCCCTAAGCTCCATCCTGGAAAATTCTGGAAAATGAAGGTGGCAGCATCTGGAAGCCCTGACTTTGTTTAGGAGTGATCCCAGCTGCCAATAAGAAATATTAATTATTTTAAAAAGACAAAGCAGGAGGTACCCAGGGGCACACCGGTTACCCCTGGTATACAAGGTAGATTTGAGCCTTTAGCAATGAAGAATCAAAGTGAGAATCTATACAAAACAGAGTGAACACGTCCGTTGTTGGGCAAATGGCTCCTGGCAGGTTTTGAAGGAACTGGGATCTCAGTGCTGGGTGTTGTGAACCTCGTGGCATACTCTGGTGTCCAAATCAAGTGGTTACAAAAATATATCCTTCTTTCAGTATTTGCAATATGGGAGAGGATGAATTTGTAGCAAAGGAAACCATGGACTTGTAATCCTGGTGGTCAAATCAAACCTGTGCCATTTTAAGGCATATTCAGTTTAGCAAGGCTGGAAACAGGATAGCAGAGAAGTGCAGGAGGGATTGCCAGACTTGGATGGCATTCCAGGCTTTGCACTCAAGTGCATGAATGATGAAGCACAGCTGAGTGCAGGTTTGGATGGGCAAACTCCACTGGCATGGGAGCCACCAGCCTTCAATGTCAGGTGCTGGTTGGTTCTTGGGCTCAACTTGTTTCGAGGTCTGTATAGCTCAGGAGACAAATTAATCTACAGGAATGGAAAACACGTTTCTTTTTCAGCTGAAGAAGACATTTAGCCTAGCTATCCAGGTCTTGAGGACACTTTATATTCACCAGCAGTCTATTGCAATGTGGTCATACTGAATGAAGTGAAACACATATTGTCTGGTTATGGCACTTATCCAAAATACTGCTATTTTACGTTCCTATCTTCCTAAGCTAAGATTGCATATCATGAAAACCAGCATACAGGGTTGCCAGTAGGACTTTCTGGGCCCCAATGCATTGTACGGAGATAGATCCCTCTGCCTCATCTGCAAAAGGGGAAATAGATTTGACATACAATTGCCTATGCTCGTTTTATAGATAGGTGCAAATATAGAAACAATAGTTGCTATTTAGACGCGATTATAATACATCTCCTCATAGCAAAGAAGTTTATGGTCAGTCAGTGCCCCCAACTCTGTCAGGCCAGAGGGCACATTTGGAATCTTGAGACTGTGTCAAGGATGCCATCATATAAAATGACTGCCATGATGGCCAGGCCCAATTGTGAAAGGCCCGTTTCACAGAAAGGCATACTGATGAGACTAAAATACAAGTGTTGTGCCCACACACCAAGCCCAAGATACACTCATCCCAATCACTGTTTGCTTTCTCTTTCAGGATCACCCCCCTCACACCTGCACATGCACACGCGTGCACACACACGCACACACAGAGGCCAGAATGGAGGGAAAGTAATTCTCCAGAGGTTTGGGTGTCACTGCCCAGTATTCCTGGTCACCGGTTATGCTGGCAGGGGCCTCTGATACCTGACATCTCAAACAACTGGAGATTTGGGACATGCAAACATGCCCTTGGAGTGACCCAGTTCAGGAAGGAAAACACATCTCTGTTGCTCCCAGGTGTTTCTGTCCACAGGAAGAAAGATTATGTTCATGCAAGCTAATCTGTGGAACAACTCAAAAGCAGAACAGGTATTGAAGCCTGACAGCCAAGGCCAGTCTGAACAGGAAGATCTTACAGCACATCTAAAAGATGTTTGGAATTTGGCAAATTTCCATGAGGGAGGGAACTCCAAAATATGCAATTTAAATCCTGGCCTTGAAAATGTCTTCTGTTTGAAAATGAAAAGCCATGGAGTACATGGTGTACTATCTTGTTAAAAAGGAAAAAAAAGAGGGGGGAGCAAGCAAGGAAGGAATTGGTCTCTACATAGTTTTAACGGAATGTGCCTGAAAAGTTTAATGCAATGAAAACTGTCATTGCACTGACAGCCACACTAAGCTAGATCAAACAGTAAAAAGACTGAAAATTCCATGTGAGAATAAAAACCATTTGCTATTTACCTGCCCAGTGTGGCTTTGCCCTGCTGAATGGTGTGTCAGCACAAGGACCTATGCAAACAGAGGAGAAAGGGCAGCATTTATTGCTGGGCACAGTATCCAAAGAGGCCAAGTTGTGTTGAAGAACCAAATATCTAAACCTTCCAAGTGAAAAATAGATGGGATTGTGGGTGTCCATGACTGGTAGAAAGACAAAAGCCAGGGAGGGACTCAACAAAATTGTTGGGGGCAGGAGACAAGACTTGATTGCCTGCATGCTCTCTCAGTGCTCCCCCGTAACTATTTATGTAAAGAACTGTATCCCACTGCAGCTGCTTTCGTGCAATCAGCAAAACAAGGCAGTCCTTGCTGACACTCTAAGATGCCACAAAGAAGGGGAGAGGGAAGGAGAGCAAGGAAAGAATTAAGTCATCTTACAACAGGTCTAGTGGAATGGTCCCTGTTCTGCATCTCTTTTCCTTCCATTCAGCAGAATGGCTGCTGGAAACTCGAGTGAATTATTCAAAATAGAATATATGCCAGTTTAGTCTATGGCTCAAATCTTTTTCTTAATGTGGGCTTTGGGATACCTTGGTACAGGGTTTGACTTTTTAAGGAAGGATGCTCTGAGTACCTGCATCTCTTCCACTTGCTGCCAGCCCCACCACAGCTGCAGTTTTAACACAGCAGAGAGTGGGGAAAGGGTCACAAATCAGAGGAGCAACTGTGCTGATCTATTGTGTGAAGTGGAGCACAACGTGTCCTTATAGGCCAAAGTACCTGAGCCAAAGGAGATTCATGACTAGTACTCTAATGCTATGCATACCTACTTAATAGGTCTATTTGGTTCAGTGGGACTTGCTTCCAAGGAAGTACATATGGATGACTGGGCAGGTTGTTGCCTTTTTTATTCTACCCAGATGCAGCTGTGGGATGTTTGTCCATTTACAGAGGAGAGAAGATGCCTGGCCCTTTGGCCCATACCCTTTTCCAAACCAACACATAATGTTTAAATTGCTACTGCCCTGAGCCCCAGGCACAGCATGCATGAACTGGATTCAAAGAAACAAGGCCGGAGAGTCAATCATGGATCTCCCACCTGGATCTCTGGTCTAATATCAGTTCTGCCCTAAAACAGGAAGAGGATGGCCCAGTGCCAACACTGGGTTAAATACAATGTCATGCAAATGGTCTTCCACTCTTACAACTAGATGTCCTCTTGATCTTCTCAGTCCTTTCCCTCTCATGCTCCTCAAATATGCTCCAGGGTGGTCCCCAACTGTCTGGAGCAGGTGGGGATAGAGTACCTGCAGAGAGGATAGAAAACGTGGTCAATGATTGCTTTCTGCTTTCTGTTTCTGTGTTTTCTGTTCTGCTGGCATACGGTCAGTATTGGATACAACCCATTGATTCTGGCCACAAAGAGATGTTAGAGCAGGGTTGAGATAATTTGATTCAAGTGCATTGGCCAGGAGACAAAGAACAGTGCAATTGAGTTTCACATGCCCAAGGGGACACAAGACTTAGGTTTCTTAGGACACACTCCTATGCAAATTTAAACCACAGTAAGACCTGCAACTTCTAGCAAGTCCTTGAGTTGTCCTTAAACTCACATGCTTCTCCCCCATGCATTTCATGGCAAACTAATCCTGAAAATGAGATGTCTCCAATAAAATTCTGATAGGACATGGAAGGTCTTCCTTTCAATTTTTTAAAAAGTAAAAAATAGTTCAGTACATTTTTCAGACAGTCATCTGAGTGGGATGATGCAAATTGATGACCTGCAATGGCAGGGGGTTGGCCTCTTCCAACTGTACTATTCTATGATTGCAATCCATGCAAGTCCTCAAAGCTGCACGACAGGGATTGATTACCCAGGTGCAAATATGCCAGTCGTTCATTGGCTTGAAAAAGAACTGCCAAAACTCTTGCATACCAAGGTTCTAACTCAGAGAAACTCTGAGAGTGCTGGGCTGAGATGAAGATGAAAGATCCAACAACCAGGATCAGTAGAGCTAAAGGGAAAAGGCCAGAACCCAAAATATTAACATATTTTAGCTTACTGCTGTTACTGCCAATAACATTTGGAAAGGGTCTTCAACCTTTCAAAATGGTGGGAAAGACTGCAAAGCAAAGCAAAGCAACCTCCAAATAATCAGTGATGAGGGAAAGGGGTGTGTGGCTGAAGAATGATGGAGTGGCCTCTGGGGAACCTGAAAAGGTTGGGTTCAGATGCCAGGATGGCCAGATATGCCCTGGGGACTATACTTCAAAACTCCTAGTTAACAGCTATGTTATATGAAGTCAGCTAAAAACAGGCTTCCTGCTCTGACGTTTTCCTTCCAGTTTCTTTGTCTTTTGACTGCTTTTCTAGAATTTGACTGTATAATTGGCCATTCCTGGAGAAAGGAACTTTGAGAATTCTCAAATGGAAAACATGTATGCAGCAATAGAGAACAGATGAGACATTTGCATGACTGTCTCCAAATCTGAGATATGAGGATTCGCTGCAATCTTTGTGGGTTCTCCTATTCAGCACTGATTTTTTTTTTTTCTTTTCTCTCCCCCACCACCCAGATCGATGAAGACAATTATAAAAGTGATGGTCAGGAAGAAGAAGAGGACACTGAAGATGATGTCTATGTGATTATGACTTCAGACTCCTCCTGTAATGTACCTTGTAAGTTTTGAGATTTCTGATCCTGCCTTTGGATCTTCTCTTAGTAACCATATGTATATGCCATAATGTATATACCCACAGAGAAAGCTTAGTATTTGTTACAAAACTTTACCTTAGTCATTTTAGAGGATGCTGTTTGTGCATCCATTGGTTATACTGGGAATTATTGATCAACTCCTTTCAAGTAACACTTGTTTCTACCACACAACATAACCTGGGCCTCCTAAACTAGCTTGTTGTCTCAGGTGTGGTAGGGTACCATAATTTCATTGCCAGTGTTGAAGTAAGATTCAGTGGTCAGTCTAGTCTGCTCCTATACCCAGACAGAGAATGCGCAGGAGGGTTTCATCTTGTCCTTTGGCAACAAAATATTTTCAGCTGGCCCTGAACTGATGGATACTTTTGTCTTGAGCTCTAGCAAACACATGCTCTGAATTTTCCAATTGATATTGGTATATCTTCTCCTTCAGATAAGGGGTAGTGGCAAATACAGAACAAGGACCTTCAAGAAGTACTTCTCCTAGCTTGCAAGTCCTGTTATCCTTGCTCAGTGCCCATACTGAATGAGGTTGATGGGAGTCCTATAACATTTGGAAGACCACACTTTCCCCACCTTTCAGTCTGAGTTTGTTGCATCTCTACCACTTGACAGCCTGCAGCTTGCAACTGAATGGCTGCTGAAACATACATACATCATTCAAAGTAGCAGTTGGCTTTGTAGCCAGTCAGTAGGATGACAGTAGTCCATTCCTTGGACAATAATCTGTGTGTGAATAAGCAATGCCACACAGATGCATACAGTGGTGATCTTCACTGGACACCACCCTCTGAAGCACCACCTTGGAGGCAGCAGAGACGGGGGCCCCATCAAGGCCACTGGCAGCCCCCCTTTGGCACTTAGTGGCACCCATCGTTGCTGCCTGGCCAGAATCACTTTTTAAGAGTGGCAACTTTTTGTGTCTTTCCTGCCAAGTGACGGTGTAGTAGACTTGGTCACCCCCTCCACTTATTGGGTTGTCTGCATTTGAAAATACAGTGAGCTCCCAACTGGGCCATGCCTTGTTGGGGTTGCTTGTAATGGAGGCAGTCCTGGGTAAGACAGCACACTAAGCTACCAGTCAGTTCCAAGTGAATGGGTCACATCCCATAACTTCCAGCAGATGCTTTAGATGCAAGCAGTTCAATCATCAATGAAATAGCCCAGCTTTCTTCAACCCCCTGATCTTCTCCAGATGTTTTGGACTAGAGTTCCCATTATCCCCAGTCAGCATGACCATGCATTTGGAATGTCAGAGAAGTCTGTAAAAGATTAAAATGTGTTCAGATTTCTGTGCATTTAACCTGCGGATTCCACAGTAGACCAGTTTTATCTGAGTGGTGCGGATTCTGCAGACTTCTGGAATTGCTTTGCACCTTGAGAAGGTTTTGCACTGATTCATGTTAATGCATTTGTGCAGTTGCACATTAGCATTAATGCACACTTGTGCTGGTACATGTGATTGCAAGTTAGTGTTACTGAGTATTAGCAGAAATAGATTGTGCTAATTCTGGTTGAAAGAACCTATTCTGTCAGTGAACGGATGATGGAGTAAACAATGAAACAGAGACAATGGATTTTACAAAACTGGCAATTCCCTACCATATGGTGCATTTCTTGCAGTGGCTCAGACTTCTCTCAATAGGAATATTTATCCCATGTGCGGAATGTCATATAATAGGTTGGCAAGGCATGGTGTTTTAAAAATATACCAGGAGAGGTGCACAGGTTATGGCTTATTTGCTCAGCTCTTTCCTAAGCACTGCACTACATTCAAAACTGGCCTCTTGAGCTGGCAGAGGTGGTCGTGGGGTGGGGAGGAGGCAATGAGCAGCCTGGCACAGTCTTTTGGATAAAGTCTAGCATTATCACATGCTGGAAGATGTTGCAAAGTGAAGTTACAAAATCTAATGAAAGCCTCCACCATCCATTTAATAAATATTTTAGATGTTCTTTTGCCGGAGTTATAAATGTGACAGCTTTCCACTGTATTAGTTCATGAAAGTTTTATTAGCTGTGCTGCTGTTATTTCTGTGAAAATCTGCAAACTATGAAATGCTTCCAGATGGCATATTTTAAATGAAATAATAATATATCCTCCAACTTTAGCAGTCAGGCCAAGCACAAGTGAACAGCCTGGAGCCAGTTTGAAAATCCAGAATGGAGGAACCGATGATGAGGCAGAGCAGCAAGAAGATGCACAGGAAAGTGCGGTTGAGAACAAAACAAAGGGGGAGAGAAATGGATCAGAGGAAACCCCACATCATCACTTGGCCAGTCATGATAAGTGGCTGGATGATGTCACTGCCAAGGAGTCCTCCGAAGCAAACCTCAGAGGTGTCAGCTGTGCTGAGAGGCCGACTTTACCCCCCCGAATTCAGCCTTCCACCACAAGACAGAATGAGCTTTTCTACTTATCTCCAGGTACTCATGGCAGAAAACAAATTCTAAAATTTATCGGCATAAATGTTTAAAGACTGAGAGAAGCAGATACTGACCTCGTATTGCATGGGGAACACATCATCAGTGTACCCAATGCAAGTTATATCAGGCTCCCATAGGAATTGTACAGAATTATTTTTCTTGTAAGCAATTATTTTGGGCTGTGTTCAGGTTTCCTCTCTGCCTTTTCTTGTCCCAAAGTGATAAAATGCAAACTCTAGTTACTGCAATCAGTCCCATGAAGGGGCAGATCTTCTATGCATGGTCATTGTTTATTTCCCATAGCAGTGTCATTATCCGTATGTACTGTCAGTGAGGTATCGTGGTTTACAATGCAATCTTACACATGTCTTCTTAGAAATAAGTCTTATTGTTTTCAGCAGCACTTACTCCCTGGGACAATGATTATTGTGTCACATATCATAAACATAAAATAGGTTTCTTAGACAATTGGCTTGCTTGGTAACTCGTTGTCTGATCTGGAGGTGAAGCAGCAGCAGTCTCGGAGGTACCTGTCTCAGGAAGATTGAATGAGCACTTTCCCTGATGCAAATGTTTGGCAGGAGCAATGCTGGAGATGGAAGCATCTTCTTTGATGTCAGAGTTGGGCAACAGCCATTTGGGGGTTGCTGTACAAAGGGAACTGAGTCAGCATGTCTTTAGGATGACTGCATGGTAGCATCCATCCTGGGGAGGGCAGTTCTTAATAAAATATACAGATACAGCTGACCACCTAAGTAATGAGGCTGGAATAAGCAGTTCTGGATGGAGGGGTCTGCTTGCCAGGATAAGCAATGCTTCTCTTCTTTTTGAGTCATATTAATGATCATTTTCATGATATTGGGAATTATATTGTTAGCATTCTTGTGTGTGTGTAGGGCTAAAAGGCATTTCTTAGTGCATCCTGTACTTCAAAACTCATATATAGAATAAAAGAGGAATGCCTAATTAATAAATGGTAAAAGGCATATACCCTAATTTTAATAGACTTTCAGCTTTAGCATCCTCTATGGATTCCATTAGCTCTCTCTTAATCCATTTAGTTTTGCCACCTAGAGATCTGGGTTCTAGTTCACTCAACCATGAAACTCACTGGGTGACTTTGGCCCAGTTACACACTCAGTTCAACCTACCTTTCACAGGTTCCTGAAAAACAGGATTCTGTGGGTAAGCATCTTCAAAAAGCTCTGTCCTGCAGGTCTTAGTAGTCAGGTGAATCCATAGCAAGGTAAGCTACCCCTCAGATGCACAGGTCGTTAAAGATTAAGACCAGCACCTTGAATTGACCCTGGCAAATCAGCTGGCAATTGGTGCAAGATTTTCAGGGAAGATGTAATATGTCTCTATACTGTACAACAGTAACAGCCTGGCACATGACATGTGGGCCTTGGTCATGTGATCACACATTGAAAAATGCACACAGAAGCTGAGTTTGGATCTGCTATCCCTGATATGCATTAATGGCATGGCAGGCAGGCCAGGGGAGCATGAATGCAAGATCTGTTTTTAGTTCCCACTCCTCATCATGAATAGCAAAACAATGCCAAATATCCTCATCAAACTACCGCTCCCAAGATTCTTTTAGGGAAAGCCATGGCAGTTCAATTGGTATGAAACTGATATAACTTAGTGTGCCATGCAACATATTGCCACAAAAACAGTGTTCTTTTATGGCTAAAAAGTAAAGGGTGTTGGGATTCACATCATAAACATACCACTATAATGCAAGGTGGATCAGTCAGGAGTCTAAACTCCATACCGACTTTTGTATGATTGTGTCCTGGAAATGCTACAGATCCCACATGAGCTGTTGCACCAATGCAGACAGAATCAAAAGATTTATTGGAAAGAGTCTAGAATGGTTTGCTAGACTGCTGAATGGGACCATGACTGGGCCAGACATGAATAAGTCTACTTCATGATTAATTTGCCCATAAGCAGACATGCAGAACAAATTAGGCAGCTCCAGTTATATTCTGGAGATGAAGCAGAATCCCTCTGAAGCGCTTTCCATTTAATTGTGCTGTGTTTCAGTGAAGTATTATATTGGTTTCATCTTTGGGTGGGGATGATACTTTTCAAAGCGAAACAGTAATGAGTCATCCTTTCACATTGTTTAGAGAACTGTTTACTGCAGGTTCAGCAGGATAATAACTAAAAGCAATCCAGAATCAAACCCTCTCTCCCAGGGAAAGATTCATTTAGTAGCAGGAGTGCCCCCTGTGGAAGTTCAGAGCCCAAAAGAGCTAATACAGTTGGGATACCAAGAACAACAGAACAACCTGTCCCTCAATTGGAACAGGTTATATTTCCATTGCTTTTAGGTAATGCGATGTATTTTTTAAAAAGTGGCTTTTCTTAATTGTGATAAAGGAAGTGTCCTTGAGTAAATAATGTGTTTCTTTAAACACTTCTGTAATAACCAATTCTACATAAGGCTTTCAAAAAATTAATAAGTATTCATTGTAACCCAGAATGTTTTACATGGTCTTTCTCCTCTCTCTTTTATTATCAGAACTACCCTGTGAGGTAGATTGGGCTGAGAGTCCATGAGTGGCCCCAAGTCACCCAGTGAGTTCAATGGCTAAGTGGAACTAGAACCCAGATCTTTCTAGTTGCAGTCCAGCACTCTAAGCACAATACAACACTCCAGTAACATGAGTGCCTTCTGTAGAAGTTCGAAAACCAAAAAGCTTATATAGTTCAGCTAGCTGGGCATAGAGACTTAAACTTGTTTAATCAGAGGAGTGACTGTGATTGCTCTTTGTTCCCTTTTTGATACAAACTTACCAAAACCCCAAATTTAATCAGAAAGAACTTGAAATTTCTAAAAGCTTTTACAAAACTTAGGGGAGAATTTGAGAGGCATTAGGATTTTCTGGAGTCTGAGCACGAAGGTACTCCAGCCTCAATTCTCTGGCCCAAAATATCCTGTGTATCCTCACAGCCAATGGAAATAACTGAGGGGGCTACTCTCCAACCTGAGATTGCAAGTGGTCCTTGGAGAAGGAAAAGGGGTGTGCTGGTGGGAGGGGCAGGGGCCACAGAGTTGCACTGAGTTCAACTGAAGTTCCAGCATCCTTCCCCAACTTCCTGGCACAAAAAATAGCTGTCCAGATAAAATGCAGGGCACGGTTATGGTGGCAGCAGAGTTTGTCACCTCTCCACCTTGGATCTTGCATCAGATGCATGTAAGCATCTGAGTTTGGATCCCTGAGTATTCAGCCACATTTGTGGTGTTGACTTGGGTCGCACCAATGCCAGCGCTAGGTTTTAGAAGGCCCTTGGGTAAGCCATAATCCAAAATCTGGCACTAAAAACAAGCTTAAGCACATTCAGCAAAACAAGATTTACTCAACAGGATGCTTCTGTTACTATTCCACTTAGAATATACTGTACCTCAAGGGCTAAAAAGCTGACATATGTAAATTACAGTGAATTCTAATATTACCAGGCATTTTATATGAAGCTCATTTCATAAAGCTGTTCTAGAGGTTGTGTTTTTTCCAGTTTGGGTTGTGGTGTGAGCTTAGCAGCATTTAGAATGAAAAATCGTTTTTGTTAATACTTGCATTAACAGTATTTGCATAGGTAGACAGCAGCAACAGCAATAATGTTGTCAGCATCCAGCAAGTTCAGAAAACTGACATTCTCACAATAAAGTATACACTAAGGCAGTGTTGTTAGACAGCAAACCACAAATGAAGGGAAAGTCCTCCAAAACAGAATTACAGAGGACAACATAGCACCAATGCAGACCTAGCAATGCACATATGAATTTTATGATATTTATTAAGTGAAAGCACTTGCTTATTTATTTCAGATTATATCTAACTGCTTTTCCTGTCTTTAACACAAAATCCCTAAGCAGTTCACAATATTCAATCATGATAAAACCCCATAAAATTAATCAACAAAACAGAAATCTACTGGCTATTTCAGATTTCAAGATCTGACCCCAGAGATGATGCTCTAACCTTGCAAACATTTCTGTTGGCTGTTTTCTGCCAATGCTTTCATTCACCTTAGAGTGTAAATAATGAAAATGGCATTGTACATATTTTGCAGCATGGGAAGCAATGAATAACCAGAAGGAGACCAAAGAGACAAATGGGGACCAGAAAGAAGATGATGAAGCAGAAGATCCATACACTTCTGCTATGGAGGACAATGGCATCTATGATATGATTCTTACTAATGCGATTAAAGAGCGAAAGAAAGAAAGTCGATCTTTCATTATGAACCGTCCACCAGCCCCTGCACCTCGTCCATCGGCAGTCCCCATGAAAGAGGAAAATACACCTTACATAGCACAAGGTAATGGTTGTTAGTATACCATCTGCAACAGATTTTTGTGATGGCATGGGAAATCTCTTTCAGCCTGATGGCAAAATGCAATTTTAGAAAAACATCCCAGAGCTACATTCTACTGGTGGCCAGGGCCAAAGGACAAAATACAAAATAAATCCAATTTATTTTGATTGAAATCTTAGGGCCCAATCCAGTAGGGATTTCTCTAAGCCTCCAAGGGCAGCCTGATAAGCTCGGAAGAGTGGCAAGCACCATTCTTTGCATACTGGCAGTGAAGGAAGTAGGGTAATATGACCACTAATCCCCATTTCCAAGGTCATACCTCTTTTCCAACTTCGTATTTGGGAATCCAAATTACCCTTTTGTCCTCTAGTCACTGTCTAGGGGCTGTAGGATCATTCAGTTACCACCAGCACCTGAGAAACATTTCAATCTTTTAGAACGGAGGGCAGAAGAGTGTAAAAACTGGAGAACTACTAAATGATTGGTGGTAGGAGGAAAGGGTGTGTGTCCAGAAAATGAGTCTGTAGCCACCACCTGGGAAACCAGGGGGCCAGATTTTACCCACGGGCATAAGTTTCCCACCTCTACCCTAATCTCTGATGAATATCTGTGGTTGATTCATGTTGGCAACACCTTTCTTAGGCCAATGCAACAGATGCCTATGAAGGGATCTTTGATCCTAGATCAAAGAGTCTTTTACAACACAGTATTATGGCCACTAGATTGGAGCCACCATGATACAAATTATGCTGGCAGCAGCTCAGCCTCTTTTCTTCATGCTCTGATGTGTAACACTTAGATTGTCAAAACTGGCCATCTAAGGAGTTGGCAGGATGGCGGAAGCATGGAAGTGACCTTCGCGTGTGCCTTCCTTCTCCCCTAAATAAGATGCCTGTAATCCTGTGTCTTGAGTATCTGAATTCATTTGTACTCTTAGTGAATCAAGAAAACATTATGCCCACAAAGGATTAATTTAAACATAGTGCATGGATCAACCTGAAAAGAATTAGCTTGCAATGCATTGATAAAGTATGGAAGGAAATGACAGACTTCTCAGGCACTTTTCATTCTCAAAGTCACACAGTGATAAAGATTCTGTGTGTAACTGTTCTTGTTGGGCTGCGCGTGTAAGGTTTCGAATCAGTAAGGGTCTGTGCTGGATGATGTGTGTGTGTGTTTTTTAAAGAAATAAAAAGCAGCATATAATTTTTCTGAAATAAATTGATGGGCTGAACTTAGTTTATTACCTTGAGCAATGGTTTCAAAGGTCCCATCTGGCTCAGCACTGCCTCTGTGGCAGAGTGGTCCGGAGCTTGGGCCTGCCCCCCTTGTCTCATCAGAATAAAAGAGGGAGTTAGAGCAAAAGCCTATCTAGTTCCACCTTCTGTTCCCACAGCGATCAGCCAACTTCCTCTAGGAAGCCCATGAACAGGAAAGGAATGCAATAACCCTTCCCACTCATCTCTCCAGAACCTTATATATCTGCAGTCAAAGATGGCCAGACAGCAAGTGCCAGTCCCCACAGGGAACCCTGGGCCAGATAGTTCAATGGCTTAACTCAGCATTACGATAGCTTCAAATATCATTCAACAGTTGTATTTATATCTTTGTTACTGGTATGCAAGGCCTGTTCCAGACCTAGCAAGGCTTTCACCCACAGATCTGAAGTACTAGACCTTCACTTCAGTGGAGGAAGGCAAAGACAAGCCTGTACTCCTTCGTGAAAATGCTGGTGGGGTGTACATACCAGCTCTTGGTCCAGGACTCGGCTGAGATAGAGATTTTATGGATCCTTTCCAGGCCAGCTACATGTGTCTTTCAGTTACCAGCAGAAGTCCACCCTCAAACCAGAGTAACCAGTGGTGGAAAGAATTGTGGGATTTATGAGTGGGCACCAGTGGCAACCCTATGCCTATGGTAGGGCAGAGATGATTATCAAAGAGAGAAAAGAAGCAAATTGAATCATGCTTCTCTCCCTCCCCCCCTCCCTCCCTCCCCCCCTCTCATTTGTAAGTATAATTTACCTTTCTAAAGATATTTATATCAGTTTAATACCATGTTAGCTATCATAATATCCCACAAGCACCATATAGACAGTGTTAAAGATCATCTGCTGGAGATTCACAGTTCACTTAAAAAACTAGTTTCCATCCAAGGTCCTTGGGAAAAAGCTTGCTTGCAGTAGGAACATCTGAAGTTTAAGCTAATTCTCATTTAGCAATAGCTCAACTGTGCATCTGAGGTTGAGGGAGGGGGGAATGACCCTGCTATGCAAAATTACCTTGCAAAGAACAATTGTGATTCTTATCTGGGTGCCTAACAAGGAGTTCAGGCATGTTCTCTTTTTGCAGAAAGAGAATTTTTGAATATCATTTCAGATTGTCATACTATCTTGAATACATTGCAAAACACCCTATCCCCTTAAATAAATAGTTGAGTGGTGCTACTTCCCCGTTCCCACCTGCCAATCCTTGTGAAATTCATACAAGACAAATATTTAGCAATATAAGGATATTTCATCAAGGTGAAACCACACTGCAATGCCAGAATGATTCAGCATCCAGATGGCGTTCACTCCCAGAGTGCTCCCTTTCCATTTCTTGAGTTTTTAATATTCTTCACCTGGTTATTTCAATATGCCTCCAATTACACCATGACCGAATAACTGTTAAATAAATGCATGAGAGCTTTTTGTTTCTTCACACATAGTGAAGGGATTGTGCTCATTACTGGCACAGGATCATCACCCCTGGAGACTGAAGCTAGTACAATTTAACCACAGACAGGTGCAGTTTTGCTTACAACGATCTGTCATGTCACTACGCTCTGACCTCAGAGACTTATCTCAGGCCTAAGGGAGATAGCTTGAGCCTCTGTGGTTGGTGACTCATCGGCATCCCTGACTACCATTGCCAAGACGGAAGCCTGACAGCTGCAGTTGGCGCTTTCATCCTTTCATTTGACTCACGCCACTTTCCAACAGGTTGTGTCACTTGCCATTCAGTGCCATTGCCTTTAATGGGATATGCATATTTACTCAGAAGTGAATCCCACCAAGAACCTTAGAAGCAGAGCTTCTGCCCAAGTAATTGATGCACAAAATTGCAGAGTTACAACCAAACAAGATGGAGCACCAGAGATGCATCACTGAGATGCATTCCAGGTCTATTGCTTATGTTGTTGGCAAAAACTGCAATAGTGGCTCTAACTCATTGCCCCACACAGTGTTGATTCTTCAGTGCAGATTACTCCTTCCCATCAACTGGGAACTGTTATCTGTTGGGTGGGGAAACCAGTATCTGTTGGTACCTGGATGGTTCCCAGTCCATGGCTAACAGAAGCACCAAGAGGGGATTCGAACAGGAGACTCCACAGGATTACCAGAAAAATCTGCAATGGATTCAAATGAGTTTGACTTTCTAAGGATCCACAGCAGAATGGCTTTTCCAGAATTTCACAGATTCCACAGATTTGCAGAGTGGGAATTTATTTATTATTTATTTCTTGTATTTCTATCTTTTATTTTTTTTCTTTTCAAGGAACTCAAGGTGCTTACATAATTCTTTTCCTTCTCTCAATCTTATCCTCACAACACCCCTGTGAGGTAGGTTGGGCTGAGAGTCTGTGAGTGGTCCAAACTCAGCCAGGTAGATATCCTGAGTTCCATTCCCACACTCACACCACACTGGCTCTTCAAATTCAAATACTTCAAAGCATGTGGAAGGCGCCAGGCTGGGGAAGACTGAACGAGCTTGCTTTCTTCCTGGAACCACAGTCTGATTGTGATGTTCTGATAACAGGCACATGCTCAGTCAAAGCATAATTCCCCTTAATGTCATTGCATTCACAGCAAGCGCTTGCTTCGAATCAACAAGATTCATATAATGTCATCAGTGATATTTGAGGGCTTTTGTCAAAACAGGTGGTGCTTCCAATGGAGCAAATCAGCCTTTTGCTGCCTCAACATCCTACATTAGACAATTAAAGCCGAGAAAAGGAATTGAACTGAGAGAATGAACTGAATTCACCAAAGTAAATGCTTCTGAAAGCAGCCTCAATGGCTCTTTCCTGCTTTGGTTCACTATATTATCCACCAAAATCAGCATAAATGTTCCTTCTCAAGATGTCATTCCAAAGACTATTATTAACATTCTCTGCACAGAACCAGTACAGGAGCATCACTCCTCCATTAGCCTGGGGTATTGATGCAAACTGCAGCAGCTTAGTTCCAGAGGGGACCGCAGTGCCAGCTCAGAGATTCTTCCCAGTGCTGAGAAGGGCCTAACATTACTAGCACCGATGGTACAGCTGCTTGCAACCTCTAGACTGCAATGAGCCCTTGAGGCAAGTCCAGAAGCAGGAGCTAGTGCAGAATACAGCAGCCCAGCCATTCTCTTTCAGCATGCGGCTCCTTAGCAGAGGGCCAAGTTTAAGGTCTGGATACCAGTGTATAAAGCCTTACACAATCAAGAAATCTGAAACAGCACGTCCTCCCTTACCAGCTTGCCAAGTCACAGACGTGATCAAATACCATGACACGAGTGTGCCCTTATGGAACTATGGGCCAACTGGAATCCTTTCAGAGAAGTGTCTGCAACTTCCTGCCTTTTGTGGTCAGGCAGGCACCAAACAGTTGTTTTTATTGCCTGCTGAATGCATCTTTATTTCAGGAAGTTTTCCTGAACTAAACCAGCCACAGTTTTATTGATACAGGTTTATTGAATTTGTCTTTAATCATACTGTTTTATCCTTTTACTTGACTTATCTTTTATCATTCAACATTCTGAAAGCTCCATGCTGGAATATCGAGTGGTAGATACATCTTGTAAATGAATAAATAGGCATTGCAATTGCAAAAGGCCCAGAAAACTGTCCTCAGTTGACCTCTCTCTGCCTCACCCTAGCACTTCTGTAGGAAAAGGTTCTGACAAACCCTGCAGCCAATCACAGCACACCACTGGAGATATTTAGGCTTTATTTCATTTATTTGATGCATTTAAAGT